CCTGCTCTACCTGTCGCTGGCAGACCTCCTCTCGGCCCTCGCCTACTTCTACGGGGTGCTGCGGGACTTCGAGCGGACCTCGTGGGACTGCGTGCTGCAGGGTGCCCTGTCCACCTTCTCCAACACCAGCTCCTTCTTCTGGACCATGGCCATCGCCCTTTACCTCTACATCACCATTGTGAGGGGCTCGCCCACGGGGACAGGCTTGCTCTGCTGCTTCCACGCTGTGAGGTGGGTGCTGTTGGCTGACCCCGTGGGAGCTTGAGGCAGGGACACCGCAGGCACCCACTTGCCCTGTGGCCCGGGGCCCCTGCCGCCTGGTGGCATGCTCTGGCCTGCTTGGGTGGTTGTTAGAGCTGCCTGTGGCGTGCTCTGCTCCATGATGGAGCGCTTGGATGGTTGCTGGAGCTGCATGTGGCGTGCTCCGCTCCGTGATGGAGCGCTTGGGTGGTTGCTGGAGCTGTGTGTGGCGTGCTCTGCTCTGTGATGACCCGCTTGGGTGGTTGCTAGAGCTGTCTGTGGTGTGCTCTTCTCCGTGATGAAGCCTTTACACATTGCTGGAGCTGTGTGTGGCGTGCTGTGCTCCACGATGGAGTGCTTGGGTGGTTGTTGGAGCTGCATGTGGCGTGCTCCGCTCCGTGATGGAGTGCTTGGGTGGTTGCTGGACCTGTGTGTGGCGTGCTCTTCTCTGTGATGACCCGCTTGGATGGTTGCTGGGGCTGTCTGTGGTGGGCTCTTCTCCGTGATGAAGCCTTTACACATTGCTGGAGCTGTGTGTGGCGTGCTGTGCTCCGTGATGGAGTGCTTGGGTGGTTGTTGGAGCTGCATGTGGCGTGCTCCGCTCCATGATGGAGTGCTTGGGTGGTTGCTGGACCTGTGTGTGGCATGCTCTTCTCTGTGATGACCCGCTTGGATGGTTGCTGGAGCTGTCTGTGGTGTGCTCTTCTCCGTGATGAAGCCTTTACACATTGCTGGAGCTGTGTGTGGCGTGCTCTGCTCCACGATGGAGTGCTTGGGTGGTTGCTTGAGCCGCCTGTGGCGTGCTCCGCTCCGTGATGGAGCGCTTGGGTGGTTGCTTGGGTTGCCTGCTCTTTTCTTAACAATAGCATGCCCTTCTCGAGTTCCTTTTAAACAGGGATTTTGCTGTCTTTTCATTAAACAGCCCTACTAATTTTCCCCCTCCCAAGTGAAGAAATGGAGACGTGTAAAAGTTAGAAATTATTTGCTTAGGGTCATATAGAAAAATCAGTGACTCTGGAAATCCTGGCTTCTGCTTTCCCTCCACAATTTGCTCTGGTGTCCTAGAAATAATGTCATGAAGCTTGTGTCTGTTGCTGCCCAAACTCTCCTGTGTTTGGGATCTGCTTCCAGGGGTTGCTGCCTTCCCAGTGTCAGCCTGGGCTGTAGATCCTTCCCCTTCCCTTGGGCAGGTTGCTGTAATTCAAAACTCAGAGGCGAACATAGTTTGCAAGCAGGAAGGCTGCTAGAAAAACACTCTAAAGATTGTTTTGGCATGTTTGATTGAAAGCAAGACAAAACAGACTGCAGTGTAGCTTTGTCTCAGTTTCTGCTATTTAGCGAGCTGATTTTCCACAACATGTTTAATAAAAGCTTTCATTATGCAATTTGAGCTTGTGGAATCATGTGATACCTCCACGCTAGAGCAAAACAGTGATCCTTCAGTCCTCTGTGCTGCCAAGCTTTTGCAATAAATTATAAGTGGAATGAGCTGGTTTAAGAAAAAAAAACAACTGTCAAGGCAAGTACTGAGATTTCTTTGGTTTTAGTCATGTATTGGTCACTTTTTGTTTTCAAACAGCATCATTTGGGAGATGACCACATTACTTGAGACTGGGTAAACATGGGCCAGAGAAAGACATTAAGGCTGAGTGTGAATCGGGAACGAACTTCGGTTCCTGCCCTACCTGTTCTAATGATTGCTTGACAGCAAGGTCTGCCCGCGAGGCAGCCCGAGGTGACTGCGCATGCATCTGAGTACAGCAGGCTATTTGTGGTGAGGTTGAAATAAGATGCGGTGGGACGGTGGAGTAGGTTAGGTGAGTTCAAGTCAAGAGAGTTGCACTGGAGAAATTACGGAGAGGATGGAGTGCCAGCAGAGCCACGTCTTGCTTAAGGAACAGGGAAAAAAGGAGTCTGGCTCCTTTATGGGCATGCTGGCTACATCAGGCTACATCAGAGTAGATGCAAATCTGGACTATTTGTAGTTTTCTTGTCTGCTAATCACTTGGGGTGTAATCTTTGTCTGCACTTTAACTTCTCTGCCTGATTTAATGCTTCTCAGCCTCATCGGCTACAAAATGTGGGAAGAAACAGGCAGATTGTCTGAAATAACGTTGGCTGTAATCTGTGCGCTCTTAAAACCATAAAAATCCTGAAAGATTGCTCTAACTCTGTGACGGAGGAAGGAAGTGTTCAAACTGAACTTCCTCTGGGTGAATTGGCTAGGTTTATTTTCAGGTCTTTGCAGTAAAAATATAAAATACCGCTTTCTGTTCTTGGTATTTATCAGCCCTGTTGAAAGGGTGATATAGATAGCTTTCATTGAAGACCTGTTACCTGGTTCTGCAGCGTAAATGACTTGCGTTCTGTGCAAAGCCAGCGTTTAAAGCTGCTTCTGCTTCCTGATCTGTGTGAAAAGCCAGAGGAAAAAAATGTGAGGCCCTGTTCTCTGCCAATCCCCTTATGAGACATCTTCCTCCTTTCCTTCCCTGCACTTTTATCATTACCTGAGAACTGAATCATAAAATCAAATTCTGGACGTAGTGCTTGGAGATAGCTCCCCCTCGGCCTTTTCAGTGCTTCAGATAGCCTAAATGTCTTTCAGTACCACACAGGCAGGAACTGCTGCAGCTGATAGAAGATGCTGGTACCTGTGTTAATTACAGGAGGTAGGTGAGGGAGACCTGTCTAGCGCAAAAGGAAAGGCTGCAAAGGGCAGATGATATTTTAAGGATTTAAGAATAAGTTTCCAGTATTTTGGCTAGGCAAGAACCTGGGATTCTCCCCCCCTTCACACGCTTCGTAGGTTGCTGGTGCAGTCAGTGACCACTGTGTGAGGAGTCATCCGGAGAGACGCTCCCGGATGGGATTCGAGGCAGGATGGAGTTTTGCCCTGCATGTTTGCTATTCTTAACAAGCGGTTACTCATAAGGGGAAAGTGTTTGTAGAGATGAAGACCTTTTTAATGTTGAGTATAACCAGAGACTGTTCTTCAGCTGAGTGGAGCTGACTAAATATATGTTGGAAGTCAGTACCTGGAACTTTGTTTTTAGGGCAATTAGGCTGGCACACTGGATCAGACCTGTCAAACTGGCACGTTCATTAGTCATGTGGTAGCACATCCACCTATCCTACTGCTGGGCTGGAGAACTACAGGCTCTGCTTTCCTTTTAAACTTGTGTTGAGCTCCCATGAGCTTTGATAACAAGTTTACAGTTAGCTGTCAAAATATTTATGTAGTTGTAAGGTGTAACCTCTGGCATCCAGAGTGTAAATTTCCAGGCTGGAGCACTTGTTTTGGGTTTCTAAATATGAAGTATTGCTTAGTGGGGTAATGCCATCTGTGCTGTGAGTCATTGATCCAAACTTGGGGTGAGGAATGGACCAGAACCCACCTTTGGATTGTTTCTTGCTTTGCTTTTGGTAACGATTGCTGTCAACCTCTGAAGTATTCTGCATTTCATGATCAGGCTATGCATATGGTTATAAGCATATATATGCTTACTTTGATATATAAGTAAAAAAGTAAAATATATACCTGTGTGCTTATATGTGACAACATATGTGTGCTTATATACGTTTCTAACTATGCATATATATGCGTGCGTGTCCGTGAAGCAGTTGGGGATCTTTTCATGTACTACCATCTTGTACATCAGAGTCCTCAACAGCCTGCCTGATGTGTGATGGTGCCAGTGCTACATTTCAGAACTGGCCTTAAATCCCCAAGCGTTGCCTGTAAGGTGCAGGGATCTTGTGAAATTTACTGTGGCTTGATCATTTAGCTTATAAAACCTTGTAGGTCAGGCCAACCGAAGAGCGAGCTATCTGACTGCTGGTGCCTTAGCTTTTCAGTTCTTGCGTATTTCTCTGGAGCAGACCCTGCTTGGTGCCAGGAAGCTGGTGCTTTGGTGCTGCAAACCTTAACGTGTGACATAAGGGAGGGTCAAAAGCAAAAAACTAATTAGGAGCAGATTTGGTCTAGAATTCTGCTTACAATGTGTGTTCAAAGCTCTTTCCTGAAATTGGCTGCTCTATCCAGAAGATGGATTTTTCTTTCTTGCAAAAATTCCTGTCCGCTGAAGAAATCTCCTGCAGGCTTGCTGGCAGGATGGCTCGCTGTCTAACCTGTGCAGGCAGGTGACCGCGAATCTTCCCTGCTTGCAAGAGCCTCTGGAAAAGAAAAAAATCCCCAGCAGCTGTGCAGTGTAAATCAAAATGTGGTGTTAAGCGACCTGACCCAGGCGTACAGAGGCCAAGACCAACACAACTTGAGCTGCACGCTGCTCTAGTTTAAGGGTCCTTGTCTTGCCTTGTATAAATACAGCATTGGTGTTGGTGTGGAAAGACTTGCTGGGTTGTATGTATTTCTATTAATAGATTGATAGGGGCTATATTAGGGAAATAAGCACTTTGGTATCTGCCTTAGAGATGGGATGGCCACAGAGTAGCCTTCTATCCCTTCTCTCCCCCACTGCTTGTGTTCAGATCAGTGTTCTTTTGAGAGGCCCAGCCTACAGAATTGCACTGTCTTTGAGGCTCTGAGTAAAATTTCTCCCTCTCTGTTACCTTGGATCCTTTTAATTCCAGTCTTTATGTATGCATTGGGTGTGTAACATTGCAGTTCTTCTGGAGGTGTGTAAAGCTTTGATATTTTCCAGTCCTTGGGAATCTGTCATTTAGGTGTTCTTAATCAAACCACTAGTCTCAGTTTGCCTTTCCAGTCTTTTAAAATGGAGCTGAAGAAGTTTGCTGAAATGCCTGATTACTTTTTAGATTTTCTAATTTCACTTTGAGTTTGCAATCCTTTGTCCTTGGTGTTAGTCGTAATAGCCATCAGATCCCAATACACCATTCCAGTGAAAATTAACTGCCTGACGTGTGGCAATCTTCTTCCACATTCTTCCTTTTACTAGTCAGATACTTGAAGATTTTTTGAAGTCACTTACCTAGTGGTCTGTTATTTCCTACTGTGTCTGTACATACTTACGCTGTTCTCTGTTATATCTGTGCGTAGTAACTTGACCTGGTTTTATCTTCTCATGTAATTCTTTCAGTTTCAGGTCACACTGGAGATCATTATATAGGCAAATTAGTTTTGTAATACACTTCCTTTTTCCTGGTGCTGGACTCACTTGTGCTTGTGTGCATTAATATGGCTTCTTTAAGGAAGTGCCAGGTCTCTTGAATGTTTTACCTCAGTGGTAGCTCTTCCAAGCGTACTGAAATTTGAATGTCTGTGTAGCTGTAATCTTTGTTTCCAGGGAAATCACCACTTTTACCAAAATAAGTCTTGAGTTGTGTAGAAACTCTCATGGTGTTGGCAATGTTAGGAATGTTTTTCGAAAGCATGCTCTGATTATAGCACCGGGAGGGCTGCCTGCAGCAGAACTGTCCTTAAATAACAACGCTGACTTGGATTAGCACTGCCAGTCCTGAACTGAATGTTCTAAACATGCTGAAAGGTTGACTCTGAAATTTTTACAGCATTATATTTACTTTTGTTTTATGAGTAGGTGAACCCAGACATTATTTAAAGGTAGGAAATGGGGTATTTCTGAGATTTAATATCATGGGATTGTCTCTGATTTTTCACTTGGGCTGTGGAATTTCAGATAATCTGGTCTAGGCAGCTGCTGGTTGCCTACTTGGTCTGACGTGTGTGAAACTGGTTTTAGGAGGATGATCCTTTTCGTGTTCTCTGTGGCTGCTCCAGGCTGTCAGTGAAAGACAAGTAATTAGTGCAATGCAGTAATGGCTTTGTTTTTGCATCCAGAGAGGCCAGGATGTTTCTGCTGGAAGCTCAGTCTGAGCACTCTCAAACATCGGTGTCATTTATTGAGGAAGTGTCCCTTGTCTCTCTTAAGGACCTACAGAACTTTTCTCCGAGAATGAATATGGAGAGGGTGGGCAATGCATTCAGCTGAATTCAGGGTAGTGTTTCAGCTGTGGAGTAATTTGTGAGTTGTACATCACAGGCTAGGGCAGGTCTGTGCAGTCCTGTGTATTAACAGCACCCGGGAAGGGACTTGAGTAATTTTACATTTGAGATCATGGGATTGTTTTCAGTTCTTACTCATGCTTTTGTGGGCAACCCAAGCTGCTGAGTGTCTTAATTCATGTGTGTCACCACAGTTCTTTTTCTTCTAAATACTTCCCTATGTTTGCCTCTGCTATCAAGAGAGAAGTCAAAGTCAAAACGCAGCTCCAAATTTTGTGAATATGCCTCCTCTTTGCTCTCAACTTTTTGCTGCTAGTGCCAGTGCTTTTCCTGCCTGTTGTCCTTCAGAAATTCTTCTTTTGCTCCTGAAATATTAACTACACCTCCATTTAAAAATGAAACACAGACCCCACTGATGGAATAAAATTGTGGATTTCTTTGTGTCCTGGTCCTTTGTGCCAAGTGTCTTTTAGAAATTGGAACGTGGGATTTGGTTGCTTGTGTTCTGAAAGCTGTGAATTAGCCAGCTCGCTCTTGAACGGCTGGGTCCTGCAGGATAGTCCCGTGGTACAGTGGTTAACCTTGCTCTTCGTGTTCTTTCCTCAGCTGGGGAGTCCCCCTTGGCATTACGGTGGCTGCTGTTGCGCTGAAGAAGATTGGCTACGATGCCTCCAATGTTTCTGTGGGCTGGTGTTGGGTCAACTTGGATGCAGAGGATCGGGTCTTGTGGATGTTGTTAACAGGGAAAGTTTGGGAGATACTGGCCTATGTGACTTTGCCGGTGCTCTACATTCTCATCAAGAAGCACATTAATAGAGCGGTGAGTATTTTGCTACTTTCAGCTTAGATTACAGACTCGCTATGTGATTATATCCTCCCATGCTCTGAAGATTTGGCTGCATATTTAGCAGCTACACAGGCAGGAATTGTTTCATATGCTGTAGAAATGCACCCACCACTGGGAAAGCAGTACACCTGCGTGAGCAGCCTGCAGCGTCATTACGCAGTGACCTAGCACAAGAAGAATGTAAAAGCCTTTTGCAAATTTACAGGGGTTACAGCATGTACATGAGTGAAACGCAAATCCTTCAGTAAGAGTTAAAAGGAGATATAAAGGACAAAATTCAGCTTTAATCAGTCTTCCACAGGTCTGCTTGTACCGAGCCCGAGACTGGTGTATGTATTTCTCTAACTTCAGTCATTTTAGAATCTGAAATGATAGTTTGTGTTTATGAATGCCTGTTTTGTACTGCAGCGTAAAGCCCCATGTGGGAGTCTGGGCACGACAGCGTTAGACACCATATAGACACCATATGGGAAGACACCCTGTCCTCAGAGGGTTTCCAAATTCAGAGGTTCATTTGCTGCTGTTCCTTGTGAACACAAAGAATCCAGGCATCGTGAGCAGCATTTGCATAGCAGAGAAATCTAGATTGAGTGGCAGAAGGGCACTCTCTGCGTCCAGAGATTCCTTTTTTTTTCTAAGTCGTATTAGGGGAGAAAAACCCACATCTGGATAGATGTCGTTCTGGAAAATGCTGCCTGCTTGCTGTGGTGAAGCTATGGCAGTAGTACAGAGCTAAACACAAGTCTGGTTAGGGCAGGTTCCTGTGGACGAGTTGGAAGAACAGCATAGCCTTAAGCAGACCTAAGGGGGTTGGGAAGGGTTTGCTAGTGCCTGTCACCATCACCTGACATAATCAGACAGGACACAGGACGCTGTGTTCCAGCAGCTGTCAGACAGCAGTGTGACTGCCCCGAAACCTGAGCCCCACGGGGCTGGCTCTGATCCTCCAGCCTGGCCAGGGATTCCTGGGCACTGGCGCTCCCTTCCCCGCTCCCAGCCCAGACCCTTGTTGAGAAGCAAGCTGAGGGCAGGCAGCCGCCGCTCTCTGCTCTCATGACACGGCGTCCGAGGGCTGAGGCAGCAGCACCCAGGGTCTGCTGGACCAGAGGGTCTCTCTGCTCATCATAGGGGTTTTGCCGAGCCTGGGAGCTGGCTGACTAAGCTGCTGCTCTGACAGGTCTTCCAAGGAAAAGCAATAGGCAACCAGGGCTGGGTTTGGGCTTTATTAATGCCTGAGGTGGGTTTTGCAGTAGTGGCTCCTGCACAGCCCGAGAGTCAGGAGAAATTATGGAAGTAGCTGTTGTGGGGGGACACACGCCGGGTGCGTAGCTAGGGGCTTTCCAAAGAGAAAGGACTCCATGGGAGCGGATGGGAAGCTGCACCGAAGGCCATCAGCGGGGCTGGACTCAGGCCACTGTGCAGTCTTGTCACACAGCTCTGTTCTGGAGGAAGGTTCTGGGGCTGGGAGTGCTGAAGCGAAGGGGAATACTGTGCATCTGAGTTGTGTATGCTCTGTAGCCCTAACGGTAGGAGGAATAGGTTTCTGCAGGTTGGCCATCCTGAGATTTAATCTTGTCCCTGTTTGCTGCGGGGGGGTTGGACTAGATGACCTCTAGGGGTCCCTTCCAACCCAAAACTTTCTATGATTCTATCAACATCCTAATGTTCAGTAGCACGTGTCCCAGCAGCTGCTCTGTGTGCTGTCTTGAACTGCTCTCCCCCATCCAGGAATCTGAGCTCATCTGGTAGCTTCTACCATAAGAGAGTCATGGGCCTTACACCTCCAGCCACCCTGATCCAGGGCACAAAGCTGATTTTTTTTTTCACATGTGCTGGTATAGAGAGGCTTACTGGCTTGTCTGAATGCATGGAAGCCCACTGCTGACAGTATATGGTCAGAAATCGGGCAGCAGGCTCTACACCAACACGTTGAAGGACTGCTTTGCATGGGCATAAATTCCTTGTGGAGCTTGCTGGCTGTGACCGTGGTGAGGACCAAAAGTTTGCGTAGTTTGAGAAGGATGAGCCAGGCTTCTCCACATATATATCTCTATATTTATCTGTGAAGAGGCCTTCCCAAGGCCAAACCCTTAACCGTGCATTTACAAAGCGGTGAAGCCAGCAGCAATGGGGTCAGGCCACGGGACCAGCAAAACAATTTTGTGGAGTACTGTAGGGTTTTTGTGTGTTGTTATGACCTGGTTTCTTGGCAACTACGTAGCAATATTTGTTAATGTAAAGCTCTAGTGGGACTCTAAGGGCCAGATATCCTTTATTTGCCACTCCTTGGCATCAGTGGGAATGTTTGCATTAGCAAGGGCAGAATGTGGCTGAGGACTGGTGCTCCTAACTGTGTCCCTGCGAACTTCCCGCAAGATGCAGAAAAATGAAGTTTGCTTTGGAAAGAATCCCTGGAGCTAAATGTCCAATGTGTGTAGCTTTCTGTTGGTGTTTTTGTCTCCCTCCCACTCTCTATGGAAGCACGCAGCTCTCTCAGAGTATCGCCCCATTCTCTCAAGAGCACCTGCATTTCAGCCCCGGACTTCCATAGCAGATAAGAAGTTGATTCTCATCCCTGTCATCTTCATCATCCTCCGCATCTGGAGCACAGTGCGATTCATTCTGACCCTCTGTAACTCCCCTGCAGTGCAAAACTCAGTCCTGGTTGTCCTGCATGTAAGTATTGGCCAGGAGATGCTTTGGAAGGAAAATCTGGGAGGGAGATAAAGCTGTATTGCTCTTAATAGAACTTTTTTGTGGCAGAATGCAGCGTGTACTGATAAAAACCATGTGAGCTACAGCCGGGATGCTCAGCAATAGCTGTTTCAGCAGCATCTGGTGGCACAGGGAATAACTGCAGCAATAACTCTTGGGCCATGCTGGCTGCTCGTGGGAAAAGCAGGACCAGCAGCGTTGGGTGTCTGTCCTTCAGCAGGGCTCAGCCTGCTCCTTCCCCAGAGCAAGCTGTAGAAACGGCAACCCGCAACATCCGTCTGGTATGCTTTGGGGTGCAAGGTTGATTTTTCTTGAATCTATTTTTTCCTCATTAAGGTGGAAGTTGCTGGCAGTTGGGCCGTACTAGAGCTGGTCTGACACGATGTCTGCTCTTCTCTGGGGGGGGGTGCCTGTAGGACCAGCACTGATTCATTCTCTTTTTGCCCTTCCAGGGAATCGGTAACACGTTCCAAGGAGGTGCCAACTGTATTATGTTTGTCCTCTGTACGCGGGTGGTCCGGACTCGACTGTTTTCCTCCATTTGCTGTTGCCACTACGATGAGCTGGATTGGCCTTGGCAAAGATCAAACAGCTACTGGCAGCACCCAGAACCCCACAAGGACAAGGATGTGCCAGGCCCTGAGCAGACGAAACCCCTGGTTCCCAGCACCTGAGCCTGGGCTGTCTACATCTCGGTGGTGATTTCTGCTTTCTTGGTAAAGATCTAGTGTGAGTCTTCCCTCCTGCCCTGCCTGCGCACAGCTTCATGATGCGAGGGGTGGGAGAGAGCTATCAGTAAGCAGCTGACAGAGCTGCTGCTGAGGGGGTTCCCTGTCAGACGCTGGAGCAGGTCCCCATCATGCTCCTTTGGGGTGAAAGCATTTATAGAACAGATCCACTCCCCTTCCCTGTGAGCTGGGGTAGCGTCTGTTACTCAGACCTGTAAAATGAGGAAATAAGACTACAGCGTGTCTGGCCCGCAAGGATGCGACACCAGTGGAAACTGAAGAAGAGGAATTAGTGGTTCCTTCTGGTGTAAAATACCGTGCACACATACATTTCATCGGTACTGCACAGTTCCGATGTATTTCGTGCCCCAAGTATCCCTCATAAGGTAATGCAATCCCAGCTGCCGATCATCGTAACAAGAAAACGGAAGGTAGGTGATTCATCCAAGCTTACATAGAAAATCTGTAGGAACAAACTTGACAGAAGCTCTTCATCGCTTCAGGTACAAGACTGGAACCGATGCCCTTGCATTGGTCTAGTTGCAAGCATCTTGTTTCCTTGTGCTTGACCTCACGAGTGACAGCTGCAGAAGATGCAAGGGTGTTCAGACCTAATCCATTTAAGAGTGCTTGGGGTTGGGGTGCTGTGTGGGTCTCTGTCTATGAAGCAGATATTGATAGTACTCTCCTCAGTAACAGAGTGCAGCTGAAGGATGTAAAAACCTAGAGGAGCTGTCCTGATAGCTCAGGACAACTGACAATTCTTTTTAATTTGTATAACAAGTTTGTGCATAAAGAACAGGAGCCTCATGAACTGCCTGGGGAGAGCGGGCAGCTGTCAGGCTCCCACTGCTCCAGGCACCCAACTGTTCAAAAGCTGCTCTTATCAGTTTAATTTTAGTCATTTTAACAGCATGTAGAACAGTTATATGATAGTGATCTCAGGGGACTATAGGCAGAGGCGAGTCCCGTTAGTTTCCAGATTGAAGACCTGGCATTAAATATATTAATACGATAATAAAGTTAAGCCCCCTTAAATATATTACAGGCTCTGTAAACACGGGAAGGTAGAGTCCTCAAGAGCTCATTAGCCCTTTTCAGGGAGCTGTAGAGGTGCTCAACTGTTTAGCATCCCTTGAGTCTTTGCAGGGTAGATGCAAGCGTCTTACCTCTAGCATAGATGACTTCAAGAGGTTTTTCCTTCTTCTAAAGGTTTTTCTTTAAACTTCTAAAAGCGAAGTTGCAGCCTTGGTAGCTCAACCTCATGTTCATCTCCTGTGGCTTGGAAAGAAGAGCTTGCAGAAAGGCAGGATAGTAAGTCTTAGATTTTATGAGACTTAGAATTGTGCTGTGTTCAGCTTTTTGGAGCCAGCCCTGAAGAGAGGAAGTAAAATTGTCACCAACTTGGCCTAAAGGAAAACAAAACGAAACACCACAAATGCAAAAAACCACCTCACCCCAAAAAATCCCCAAGCTCAAAAACCTAATCAAAACAGATTCCTTATTCTTGGTTTACCCTTTTCCATATTGGAGCTCTGAGAAATGCTTCTGGAGGAATGTGCCCCTGGACAGAACTCCCTTCCCAGCTCCCAGGGGTTCAGGGAAGCATGCTGGTTTGCACAGCTGGCTGTTGCAGTAGCATCTATGCTGATACCAGTGGAAAGTCTCTGGCCACCTTCATGTTGGCAAAGACAGAGAAAGAAGAACAGCCAACAGAACCTTCAAGTTCCAAGTCTGTAGTTCCAAACTCTGAAGCTGACTGCAGCCTAAATATAGTGTTTGTTTGGCACAAAGCACAGGGGTGATGCTGGAGCACAGCTCTCCCTGCAGCCTTGGTGGTCTGAAGATGACTGAACTCTTGTCAGGCGTGGACTGGAAAACTTTAATTCAGATATTTCTGAAGGTTGAGGTATCTGGCTGTACTTCAGGAATGGGTCTGTCATGTCTGTTTTCAGCTGCTACAAAGCAATGTCCCTGTGGTTTGAGCTGCTGCAGCAAGCCCGTTGTCTTGTCTCAGGGCAAACCTGTGTGAGCTGGCTGCAGGAAGATGGGGTGGTCCTGGGTTGTAACTGTGCATTATTTTGAGCAGGTGCAGGATGGTCCCAGAGTCCCACAGAGGGAGCTAAAGCCTGGGGAAAAGCACTGCTGCTGTGGCTGAGCAAAGGGAAGAGGTCCTGCTCCTCCTCGGCATT